TTCGATTTGAATTATTTCGTTTTAAAATAGTAATTTAAAGCATTCTATAGATATATTTATCATGTCGGTGAAGCGCTCCTGCGCAAGAGGACAGAAAGCGCATCCTGTTTGTTTTCCTTACTTTACAAAAGCACAAGGTTTTGTTGATATTTGAGTGCACACAAATACAAGTAGACCATTTGTAGTTCCGAATGATGTATACTCTTACCTTTATGAGCAAAAATGACGGCGTATTTTTAAGTTTCCACTGTTATCAAAAAAAATAAAAAATGCAAGTGCTCGCGCTGGCGCCTGCATGTCCTGTAAAGCACGCTTCAGCTTCCACTCTCCGCGCAAACGATTGGATATGCACCTTACAGCGCTCATTTATCTAGGTTAAATTAATACTGTGAAATGCATGAAGTGTTTTATGTCTGTTTATTTTAGGCAAGTCGTGTTGGTTTGAGAAGGCTAAATTGATCAAACATAATGCTCAACTCACTGTCTGCCACTGCCGCTTGGTCGTTCCTTTAAAAAGCAAAAACTTGAATTTAACAAACATAAAATGTTCCAAACATATTTGGCTCTCAAAGCACAGGAGGATGAGGAGGATGACAGTGGATGGAGGGGAGAAGGTGCTGCACTCTGGGGTCAGGAGGGGAGAGGGAACACATACAGCTATACAATATACCAACACAACTATAAAATCCAAGGTTCATTTTGTCTATGTATAATTATTTGTAACAAAGAAAAATAAAAAAGAGGGTTTGTGTGTATGAATATCTGGCAACACATCTGTATGTGTATGTGCAAACTGGTACACAACAAGCTTAGAAAGCGTTGAAACACATCATCACGTGGGTTAAGAGGTTTGATCATTTCACCAAGCTTGGTTAGCAATATACCAGTGACCTGTTTGAAAAACCTGGGGGTATTGACATTTATATGCTACGGTTCAAATGTTTGGGGTCAGTAAGATTTGTTTCATATTTACGAAAGAAGTCTCATAATCAGCAAGATTGCATTTATTTGATCAAAAAAAACAATCGAACAGTTGACGGTAGCCATTGACTTCTATTGTATGGAACAAAATACTATGGAAGTCAATGGCTACCATCAACTGTTTGGTTATAAGCATTATTCCAAATATCTTCTTTTGTATTCAACAGAAGAAAGAAACTCATACAGGTTTGGGACAACTTGAGGGTAAGTAAAAGCATTTTGATTTTTGTTTCTGACTAAAACTATAAACTTCTTTCTTTAAAAAAATCTTACTAGCCCCAAACTTTTGAATTTTGGTTGTGATGATGAAATTCATTCCAACACAGGCTTTTCTCTTCTAAATAACCTGCACTTTGAGTATATTTGCCAGCCGCAAACACAGGTTGAAAAACTTATGCAAAGCTGAATAAAATTTTATATAAAAGTATCACTGGAGCTGTGGTAGGGAGATAAGAATGTCCTCCAACAGCTCGAGCTGTGGCCCTCATCTGAACAAATGTGTGTTTGAATCTGCTTCTTCTTCATTACCTGTCCACTTTTTGTACTAATAAAAAGGACATTATATTACATTTACATAATACTGTTTGTCCATCATAAAAAAAAGTGTATAGCAGCAATTTTCTGTTCCCACACACATTAACTTCCACATGCACACAGACAATGGTCTACTTTTATGACGCTTTTATGGTGCTTTAGCGTGCTTTTTAGAGAATACAATAGTTACATTGTAAGCAAATGGAAAAAATAGTCAGTTTATTCAATGTACTGGAAAGAAATACACGTTTGAAACGAGGCTCAGGAAAATGACAGAGTTTACATTTTCGGGTCGCTTTAAGAAGTACTTATCTGTATTTGCAAAGGTTGGAATGCTTTTTCCAGTAGATAACTTTCTAAATTGCATGCCTGCCATCTGACCTTGACATCTAGAGGTCACTGGGGTCAAGTTATCTATCTGGCTAACAATAAGTTTGCTTTTCTTACTTACTTGTCCAGTCATCTTCAAAGCAGTAGAGAAAATGAAAGACCACCATGACCAAGGCATGCAGAGAGATCAGGGAAATGTACATCTGAAAAACACCAGCACCAACATTAGATGTCTGTTAGCGTTGGTTTCAAATAACCATAATGAAATAAAACGTACAATTAAATCCCTAGTGAAAACACTACAATCAATTTAATATTAATGATACTTTCAAATTCAGAGGGAAGTAACTGAACTTTTCTCAGCAAGTCCAAAACTAATTTCAGCGGCGTAGCGAGTCAGCCCCGGGCCCATATGCAAAAAATATGTACGGGCCCCTCCAAACGTTATGGGCTCCAACTCGGTTAACTTAACTTAGGCCCTATTGTTGATTTTTCTGAAGTAAATAACGTTACGTGAATCGTGACTATTCACAAGCTGTTTTATTTACGGTCTAGGCTAATGCTTGGAAATGATGTTTAAAGTTTTCAAGTCCATTCATTATTTGTAGCATGCAAGCCACTCAATAATCGCAGCTTTGAGCTTTGTTACTACAAAGTCTCAATAACATACAAACAATAAATGTCTTTTTACGCTCTTTAATTTGTAGTGAGATAATTCACCTCTTTAATCTTTAAATATTTGCAGCACGACCTAAACATGAATATTTGAATGCATGTTGAAATAAATCTGAACAATTTAATACAAACGAATGTCTCATGAATCGATCAACTGTGGTATTTTTAGAAGTGCGCATGATGAACCGTTTTAATACTTACTGTGAAAAGCACAAAGTACTTCTGGTTATTTTCCCCGACACAATTGTTTACCCAAGGGCAATGATGATCCATCTTCCGTATACAACGCTTACAAACACTAAAGTGAGTTTGAAAAGAGGGGTGGTGGAAAGAAAGAGATGAAAAGTTACCTTAACACTTCCAAACAACTGAAAGACTAACTTAAACAATGGTTTAAAGATAAGGCTTTCAAAAATATTCAGCTTCATGTACAGGGGTTGGAGAAAATAATGTGAACAACACTTATTATTACAGAGGTTAATAAAATTTGTGTAGGCTACAATGAAAACATTGCTATTATCTTTTATTTATCTTTTTGTTGTCATATGCATATCAGTGTTGTATAAATTGTGTTCAGTTCAAGCCGTGGGTGAAATGGTAGACAAATCATAAGAGCCTGTGTAGCAGGAGCTTCTGTAAATTTATCAGCCCAATTGTTTGTTGTTTTATAGTGTTGTTTGGTTTTCCAGTCTTTATGATCATGACTGCATTCATAAAGCATGGGAAGACTTCATAACGAAGAAGAATAATGGGCGGAACCCGAAAGTGAATAATAGACTGTCAAACACTAAGGAGGATCCTGTCCAAACAACACAGAACAACTCCCACAAAGTGACAGCAAACCTCAATAGACTACATAGAACTTCACAAAACCAGCATCCATGAAAGAGCTGCAACTGCTAAAACTTTAATCACAGATACAAATGACAAAATCAGAAAAAAATGATGTCATTTATCACAAAACCTGGACAGCTGGAACACCCTGGCCAGCTCAATCACCCAACTTGAATATTATCAAACCACTGTGGGAAGTTTTGGAGACGCAGATTCCCTCCTTCACCATCTCTGAAACAACTGGCAGATGATGACAATCCATTGGAGACTATTCCGAAGTTGAATTAATCTATTCTAAGAAGGTTGGAAGTTGTATTAAAGGCAAATGGTGGTAAAACCATAATAATTAAATGTTGCCTATTTCTTAGGTGTTCACATTATTTTGTGCAACCCCTGTATATACATACACACTAACTCAGAACATGACTATGTTGTAAGGAATGTGCTGTGCAAATGGTAATAAATAAATAGAACAGAATAGAAAGCATCTAAAATGATCTCAATGGAGAAAAAAAACATGGACAGTAACAGAACCATGATGAATAGTGCTGCTACAGTTACGCATCTACGTCTCCATATGCTCCTGTCTCACCTGCAGTGGTGAGCTCTATCCGGCTTAATACTGCAGCACTTGGGACATTTGTAAACCACCTGGCCTGGCTTCAGCTGCAAGCTCTCGATGTACTCCTTTGTGGCGTTGCCCTTTGGCACGGCTCCCTAAGAAAGCATCAGGCAACTTCAGCAACATTTTAATAGCAGTATGGGAAGCATTTATGACACCTTGCTGAAGATTTAGGGAAGAGTAGGGGAAAAAATAACACTACTTTTCTTAAATTGCAAGCATGCTACAGTGATGACACTTATGCCCAATATTTTTCTTTTTTGATACCTACAGAATTCAAATTAATGTCTATTTTATATCTAGGTTGTTGGATTGTAGTTAACATTAATGGTGTTGCTAGTAGCTAAAATACAAGATTTTCTTGTATCTTGTGAAGATCTTGGCTGTGAGCTCAGGGGGCAATTATACGACTTTAAAATCTTTAAAATGAATGAATGAATGAATATTGAACTAATATTATTGTTGTTGTTATTATTATTATTATTATTATTATTATTATTAGTAGTAGTAGTAGTAGTAGTAGTAGTAGTAGTGTGTATATAATGTGTGTGTGTGTATGTATGTATGCATGCATGCATGTATGTATAAATATATATAAATATATATATGAGATATAGTAAGTATAATAAGTAAGCATTACATACAATTCCTCTCATATACTTGTTGTTGTTATTTTATTATTATTATTATTATTAGTAGTAGTAGTAGTAGTAGTAGTAGTAGTAGTGTATATATATATATATATATATATATATGTGTGTGTGTGTATGTATGTATGCATGCATGCATGTATGTATAAATATATATAAATATATATATGAGATATAGTAAGTATAATAAGTAAGCATTACATACAATTCCTCTCATATACTTGTAGAAAAAACCCTCATAATGTGGGAAATCTTCTCTCACCTACCCAGCAGACACCATGAAAGCATTGATTATTACAGGTAAAAACCCACCGGGTCAGTGCACATGGCTCTGAAATGAGATGCCAAGGCGAGGAAGGCCAGGCTGTTGAAGAGTGTGCCATTCACCAGGCTGTAGGTGAGGTTCTTCGATGGAATCAGCATGACGAACAGCACGACAAACTCAGCAAAGAAGACGAGAAGCCAGGTGATGATCGCACAAACGATGCCGCAGGCATCTTTGATGAACCACATGATATTCTGTCGCTCATGACAGGGAGGAAGACACTGTACAGGCTGCAGGCCACTGGCCTGCCTCTCGACGTCCCTGAAACGCGGCACTGGACTTCTCATCCTACTACAGAGATGCCATCCTGTCAGAAAATGATGGAAAAAGAGACAAAGATGGATAAAACTACCTCATTACATCACATAAGTTAGTGCACAGTCTATTTTGAGTTCACATAAAACCATGGTAAGCAGAACAAAGTATAGATTTTAGTATAGTATTTAGACAGTGGTTCTCAACCAAGAAGTTCCAAAAAGAAAGACTGGCATTTTTATTTAAGAATTAGAATTCTTATGGTCTTTGAAAACCTGGATATACATGGGAATTTTAAAAATGTTACTTCTAGACCTGGAAAAGTCATGGAAATTCATAAAATTCTAAAAGGCCATGGTCATTTTTAGTTATGTCAAGATATACATTTATTTGTGAGTACAAAAGATCTTGAATTGTAACTATAAAATAAAATTATAATTTAAAAAACCCTGTAATTAAAAAAAAAGACTAGAAAAGTCATGTAAATAAATAGGTGTAAAAGTGTAAACTGTGGGGGCCTTGGAGTCAAAAATGTTGAGAACCACTGGTTTAGGAGACACAGTAGGTCATATTTAGTGGATGCAGCATTATGGAAGCTGCGGTCTGACACATACAGTCACTTGAGCAGAACCAACAGTGTCACTAGAGGACACACTGTAGTTTCACTGTTTTTTGTTGTTGTTGTTTTTTCGCTTTATGGCCCACAAATCAATACTATATCCATCTTGTATGCCTACTTATGGCATTCCTGTCTACTTGGGTCCATAATGAGACAGTCATGTATTGTTCAAGAGAGCCAACAATATTTAGCAGTAACATAACGCGTTTCAAAATGTGTAAAAAAATTCTGGTTTGTAAAGTCAAAGCAGCAAAAACAGGACATAATATCACAAAGGCGTGAATTACGCCTTAACTGTGCCAAGATATCATCAATAACATTTATATTTAGTCATTTAGCAGACGCTTTTATCCAAAGCGACTTACAAATGAGGACAATAGAAGCAATCAAACACACACACACAAAGAAAAACAAGTAGATAGAATAGAAAAATAGAAAGCTAGTGGGGGTTTTTTTTAAATAAAAAAAGAAGATAAAAAGATAAAGTTGAATTAATATAGATGGAAAGTGCTAGAGTTAGAGGGTCAAATAAAGATGGAACAGAAATGTGTGTTTTTAGTCGTTTTTTGAAGATGGCTAAGGACAATAACACATACAACATCCAAGCAAGCGCACCGTTTATCATATTATTACATCTCATGAAATAGAAAGTGTATGGCATAACAGTTCATAATAACGTGATTTTGACTGAATAACACTGAATTCAATAAGCCAGCTGTGTAAAGAAACCTGCGCTACCTGACCATGGCGATACTCACATATTTGGCGACACTGGTGGTGCTCCTCTATATCCATCTTGTATGCCTACTTATGGCATTCCTGTCTACTTGGGTCCATAATGAGACAGTCATGTATTGTTCAAGAGTGCCAACAATATTTAGCAGTAACATAACGCGTTTCAAAATGTGTAAAAAAATTCTGGTTTGTAAAGTTCCCAAAATCTGGTTTGTAAAGTCAAAGCAGCAAAAACAGGACATAATATCACAAAGGCGTGAATTACGCCTTAACTGTGCCAAGATATCATCAATAACATTTATATTTAGTCATTTAGCAGACGCTTTTATCCAAAGCGACTTACAAATGAGGACAATAGAAGCAATCAAAACTAACAAAAGAGCAACAATATGTAAGTGCAAATGACAAGTCTCTGTTAGCCTAACAGTACATGTAGCAAGGTATTTTATATATATATATATATATATATATATATATATATAAATAAAATACCTTATG